GATTGACCGTCACATTGTAACGCCCCACGGCTGAAAGGGCGACCATGTTTGGTGTGACGGGGATTCGAACCCGCGACCCGCAGATTGCGAGTCGAGTGCCCTAACCACCTGGCCATGCCGGGCCAAAAAAAAAAACGTGTAAACATTCTACAGATTTTCAATTTTTTCTTATTAAGCTATAGATAACGACTACCATGCTTTAGGGTTTCAATATGGCGCCGAAAATTTCCTTCAACTGATATAATGCTATAGTTGTCAAAGAAGTAACATTACTAAATATTGACATACAGTATAAACAAAAGGCACAGACTGACACACTTCGCCATAATGGGCGGGCACCGTAATAATATAATATAATGGTTAGTTATACTGTAAAGGGCACGATATTTAAAGTGCGCCACTTTTGTTCGTAAATAATATTTTACCATACACAACAAATATGTTTTTGCGCATAATATTGCCTTTTTGAAAACTTGATTTTGATAGTAGCTGTAAAGTAAAATAATGACATCATTAAGTGCTATAAAATACTGACAACATTAAATGCTATAAATATGTCGTGATATATGGCTAAACCTAAGTTTAATTTCTATTTACAGTGCAATAGACAATCGTGGTTCTTTACAGTGCAATATACAATCGTGTTTCTTTACAGTGCAACAGACAGTCGTGTTTCTTTACAGTGCAATAGACACTCGTGTTTCTTTACAGTGCAACAGACAGTCGTGTTTCTTTACAGTGCAATAGACAGTCGTGTTTCTTTACAGTGCAATAGACAGTTGTGTTTCTTTACAGTGCAATAGACAGTCGTGTTTCTTTACAGCGCAATAGACACTTGTGTTTCTTTACAGCGCAATAGACACTTGTGTTTCTTTACACCGCAATAGACACTCATGGTTTTTTACACCGCAATAGACACTCATGGTTTTTTACACCGCAATAGACACTCGTTTCTTTACAATGTAATAGACACTAGTGCTTCTTTACAGTGCAATAGACACTCGTGGTTCTTTACAGTGCAATATACAATCGTGTTTCTTTACAGTGCAATATACAATCGTGTTTCTTTACAATGTAATAGACATTAGTGTTTCTTTACAGTGCAACAGACACTCGTGTTTCTTTACAGTGCAATAGACAGTCGTGTTTCTTTACAGTACAATAGACATCGTGATTATTTACAGCGTAATAGACAGTCGTGTTTCTATACAGTGCAATAGACAATCGTGGTTCTTTACATGCAATAGACAGTCGTGTTTCTATACAGTGCAATAGACAATCCTGGTTCTTTACATGCAATATATAATCGTGTTTCTTCACAGTGCAACAGACAGTCGTGTTTCTTCACAGTGCAACAGACACTAGTGCTTCTTTACAGTGCAATAGACACTCGTGTTTCTTTACAGTACAATAGACATCGTGATTATTTACAGCGTCATCATTAGGTACATTTGCTGTTATGTTAAACTTATATTAAAGTTTTTCTTCGTTATCCATTCAAGCCGTCTCCAACCATTATTTCTCAAAAGGTTGTTGTTTGAGCGCAAAGATACACAATGAGATGTCTACTAAGAAGGTGTTTCTTTACAATGTAATAGACACTAGTGTTTCTTGACAGTGCAACCGACACTTGTGTTTCTATACAATGCAATAGACACTCGTGTTTCTTTACAGTATAATAGACACTCGTGATTATTTACAGCGCAATAGACAATCGTGTTTCTTTACGAGTGCATTCTGTTTTTGCAATATCCTAAGTGTTCCAGCTTTAGCGGTTTTTTTTAACATTACACAACAATTCTACTTTTAAGGCTTAAAGTGAGAATAATTGATTCTAGTAGGAATATGGAGTATTAATCATGTAAACTAAACACAACCCTCAAGTGCTCCATTTCATATCATATGGTAAGGAAACTATTTACTTGAGATCCGAAAGCCCATTGATAGGTAATAGTTCAAGAAGTATAAGAAAATAATTATTCGTGGAATGAAATTAGGTTTGTACCATTCAAGGTCATGTCAGTTGCAAAGGAATAAGGAAATAAATAACAAAAATTAAACCTACAATTACCAAAACTGATCCATAACAACAACAATTAACATTCTAACGGTATCACAGTGATCTCGAACTGTTGTCCAACTGTGGCAAATGCCAATAGGATGCCTTCACCGTCATTATTGGTTGACGTTCTTGGTCTGCACGCACTATGTCTATGCTTAAATGAGTCTGTAGTACGCAGCCGCTCACACATGTCATTTGATATGAAGGATGACATTCACCTGCGAACCGTCTGTCATATAATGTGGTAATGTGCTATCTGAAAAAATTGACAAGCACCAAAAAATGTTCTTTCTGTATATAATGGCTTTCCACTTTATTAAGGTTTATGTACTCTTTCAGACTTGGTCCTGTTTTGAGATGCAGATGCAAAATAGATTGATAACATCATACGTCAGGTGATCCCTGCAGCACTATAAATGACTAGGAAAAGCACATTAACAGTTAATCTAACACATGTGGGAAATGTAAAAGATATTGCATGGTTCAAAAGAGGCATGATAGTAGGTGCACATTTAGCAGGTGCCACAGTGGCCAAAACAGTTTTTAGGAAGGTTGCTCCAAGACATCGGTTATTCAAGTTTATCTGAATTGGAAAATGTGAATAAATGTCTCCTGCTAGGAGGAATTGTGGCCTCAATTACAGAAAGAGGAGCAATGCGGTTAGGTACGATTATAAAGTCTAAACATCATCAACGAATAGATCAACTGACAGAGACATAGCAATCCCAACCCATCTTGCAAAGAACGTTACAACGAATGACTGCAGCAGTGGAAGACCATTGATTAAACCATTAATCTCAGTATCAACAAGAAAAAATTTTCTTCGAGTTAAGTAAGTAGAACAGACATTGGACAAATGAAGACTGGCAAAAGGTGATGTGGTTCGCTTTTCTTTAGCACAGATGGGGTACGACAGATTTGGAGAAAACCCACAAAAATCACTCGACTTGTGTGGTCCTAACTTTCCAGGCCTCTGGTGGTGAGCGCATGATTTGAGGACTATTTGCTTGGAATAACCTGGCCCCCTTTAGAAAGCAGAATTAATTTAACAGCTTACCTCAACATCGTTTCCGATGAAGAGCATCTAGCAATTGTTTTAGCTTATAATGCCATGTTTTCTCAGCATCATTTTGAGTTTAGAGCTTACACGTGACACACCTAACGAAAAGAAATTCCAATCTTTAGGATAGGTTTCAGAGGAAAGTCTTATTTAGGGTCTATGTGGAAATTTGGTGTTCACTTTAAAAAAAATGTCATATTTCAACGCTATTAAAAACCTACATCTAACGAAGGTGTTGGATTACTCAAAAAGAGGAGTTACTGGTAATACATCATTTTACAAACATTGTAGCATTATACATAACTCACTGTACTTTCGGGCAACCACATCAGTGGTGTAAATTGTACTTAAAATGTTCAAAAGAACACTGTTCGGAAACTATTATAAGGTCATGTCTACTAGCATTTAATTAAGACTCCAATGTGAGCAAAGTGACATATTTAAATTGATTCTTTAAAAAGTGTTCCTTACCTTCACAATTAGATCATGTTGATGATGTTTTTCAAATATGATCTTGTCAACCAGAAAACAGTATACGTATTTCGAACAAGTGGTATTTTCAGTACTTGATAGAACTACGTGCGGGCATCATGCCTAAATAACTTTGTTTGCTATGAATTTCGCGCAAAGCTACACGAGGGCTGTCTGCGCTAGCCGTCCCTAATTTAGCAGTGTAAGACTAGAGGGATGGCAGTTAGTCATCACCACCCACCGCCAACTCTTGGGCTACTCTTTTACCAATGAATAGTGGGATTGACCGTCACATTATAACGCCCCCACGGCTAAAAGCGCGAGCATGTTTGGTGTGACGGGGATTCTAACCCGCGACCCTCAGATTGGGATTCGAGCGCCCTAACCACCTGGCCATGTCGGGCCGAACATAAATAGCCAAATGATACACGAAAGTAACTTAAGTTAAGTTATAATATACACAAACTTAATATGTGATTGGCCTACATTTATACATATATTCTACGGTTCTTTAAAGATGTATTCCTGTCACTTTATTACCTCCAGGTTAACCAAAAAAGAAAGAAGGGTACTTACTAGTTTGGGAGTCCTTTGCTTCTTTTTCCAGTCCTCTGCAACTCTTCACTGTGTATATCTCTCGAAAGTCATCTTCCGACTCTTGACCTTCTAGTTTTTTCTGCATCTGGCGAAGATTTTCATTCCTCAGATGCTCTAGTGAGTGAACGTGTTGAACAAGTTTAACTTTGGCGTTTGCCGAAAATTTGCACAGTGCACAGTGGTAAAATGTTGCATCAGCATCGAGACCGTTTTCACTGAACTGCAAGTACAAGAAAAGCTTAGCACTGATCTCATGTCTGGGATTTGAAGTATGTAATTGTAGTTCGTGTATGCTGTTGGTGTAGCAGTCACAAACGTTGCATCGCACCTGGACAGCGTTGCTGGTCTTCGCATACTTCAATTTCCACTCGTTCCTCGGCCCTCCTTCTTTAATGTGGTTAATATGTTGAAGCCCTTGGTAGTGCTTATCGGTTTTGCAGTGAAGCTGGAAATTGGCTTTCAGATTAGTTTTATAGGCGCACAGTTTACATATGTAATTTCCTCCAACCATCGTCATAGTATTATCTTCTCGTTCTTCTGTCCGATCAACTTGAAAGTGCTCATTCAAGGATTCAACGCTGTTTGTTGAGAAACAGCTACACACACAACAGAAGAACAGAGCGGAATCACCCTCAGAAACATCTGGGTTCAAAGTTGGGTCGCCTTGTTCCATATCTATGGTAGATGTATAAGGAAAATATAAAGAAGAAGGTTGAGAAGAATTGTTTACAACAGGATTAGGGCCTACCATTACCATTTGTTGTTGTTGTTGCTGCTGCTGCTGTTGGTTTGCTATCATCATAAGTGCTTGATTGTAATACAAGTCTGCCAAAGCTGCTTCAGGCTGGAGCTGAGCGTCTGGAGGGAATAATAAACCAGAATGGAACTGTCCAAACATCGGGTCCATCACTTGAGAATGGTGAAGTGCTGTCAACTGTTGCATATGTTTGACATTCTGCTGTACAACCATCATGTTATGTGTGTGTTTTTCGCTCGTCATATGAATCCGAAGATTTCGAGCCACGTTAGTTTCGTAGTTACAAATATCACAGCGCCATGTAGCCTTTGGTTTGGTTAATGGTAACCCCTTTTTCGGCGGTTCTGGAGCAGTTGTGATGGTTACGTTTTGAGAGGGAAGAACATGTTTAGTAGTCAAGTTTCCACTTCGAAGCTCTTTGAGATTATTGAGGTGTTTGTCTGAGTGCATGTGAATACTCAAGTTACCTTTAGTAACGGTAGAATAATTGCAAATTTGACATCTATATGGTTTGTATCCACAAGTGTAAGTCTCACCACGTGACAGTTTCGGATGTCGCTGATTGGTTATACAATAAACACACGAAGTTTCGTTCTCCGAGTGTTTCTCTTTCATATGTATCTCTAGCGTTTCTTGATATTTGTAATGCCAGTTGCATTTCGGACACTTTAAAGTTTTACAAGAGTTTCTAGAGTGTATCATTTCCATATGACTACCTAAAGAAGAAGAGGAACCTAAAACCATGTCACACTTTGAACAGTCAGGATGTCTGTTATCTAAGTGCTGTGGACAAATAGTATATAAAGCATTTGTTGAGGACGCTAAAGAATGGTTACTTAACGTGAGCAAATCTGGAGACATTGAAGTCTTTGGAGACACAGAAGATTCTGGAGAACTGCTTCCATAACTTGTTGGTCCCTCTAGTGAAAGAGTTCTTCTTTCTAAGGCCGAAGATACAGAGGCTGTCATTGGTCCATCTTGATTCTGAGCTTCGGTACTTTTTGGCATTAAGTTATTAGTAAGATTCTGTTTGCATTCACCAGATGACTCCGATGAAGTCGCCTCAGCTGCAGCAGCTGCTGCTTTGGCTAATTTCTCAATGTTAGCCAAGTCTTCTAATTCCGGAGCAATAGATTCTATTGTTGCGTTATCACGACCGACAGTACCTTGAACAACATTTTCCTTCTCGTGCTCAACAAAAGACTGTTTGATATCCCGAATTGATGGAGCTGGGTTCAAACAGGACAATGATGTCGTTGCAGCAACTGTACTTGTGGATGGTGAAACACTACTAACGACTACAGCACTGGTGTAGTTAAATGGATGTTTGTTAGCATCTAAGTGTGCAGAGGAATCACAAAAACTCTGGACACTTCGAGATAATAGATCATTTTCACGAACCTGAGCGGAGGCGTTAGAAGCTGGTTTTAGGAATGAAAGAAGTGGGATTTTGTCTTTCCCAACGCCTTGAATAATGGCTGAAACATTTATTTGTGATAATATATAGTTTTCTTCTTCCAGAAGATGTATACCGTGCTCTCTGACAGCATGAGCAACAAATGATTTGGCATAACCGAAAGATAATTTACACATGAAACACATAAGAATAGGTTTAATTGGGACAGAAGAATACTCACAGGATATTTTATGTCTGTCCTCATTGTTGGCCCTTAGTTTAGGTCCACCAATGTCAGTTTTTACGAAGTCTTTATTATCAAAACTGGGACTCTTTTCACGCACGTTAAACACTTTATAACTGTGTACCATAGGTATCTCAGGAACTTTTTTATTCTGTTGATGGAGGTTGTGTGTTTGCCCATATAGGGCGCTAAGCAAATTAGAATTTCTACAGATGTGAAAGGCATTTATGATTTCAGGAAAACCCCTATACTGCGTAGGTGTCGCCACCCGTCCATCAACAATACCGTCTTGTCGTTGAGGTAGATCCAGACTGCATTCTTCATCGCTGACTTCCGAGTCTCCTTCTATAATATAGGCAGATCCATCCGGGTTATACAAAATCTTTCCAGTGAAAGTCTCTACATCACTTTCCGACAACGAATTGTCATCATTTTTCACACCATGACCTGAAAGGTCAACATGCGCAATCTTTTTGGTTTCTTGTTGCTCACATCTTTGGGTAGGTTCCGAGTTTAAGCGAATCTTCGTTTCAGTGCCAAGCTGCCCACTCAAACACAAAGTCCCATCTAATTTATCCTGGTCTGGAGCATCGGATGGATTGTCCTGTGGTGCCATAGTTGACTGTTTATTGGAAGATGGCGTATCGGAAAATTGGTAAGAATGTCTTTCCTTAGTTGTTCTATTTACAGTAATGTTTTTTTCATTGCCACATCCAGGTCTTACTACTTCAGCAGGTAACAAATAGATCTCGGAGAGTTGCGGCTGGTGTTTTCCGGCAGACTGCTGCCCTGTATCCATATCCTCCATAGGTGTTTGAGATTCCATTTTTGTAAACTTGTTAAGCCATGATGGAGCTCATTTTCTTCATCTGAAACACAAAAAATTTACATTATTTTAAACTGATAACAACTATAGATCCAGTCACGAAAACTTGGAGCGTCCTGGTGCTCTTATAATACAGAATACATGCTATATGCAAAGATTTACACTTAGGTGTAATATACAAATAATTACTGTTTGTTGCTTAATTTGGTAAGGATCGTTGGTTTCAGATTCTTTCGTATTTTAGATAAGCCAGATTTGTTTGTGCAATGGTTAGAAATCTGTAAAACACTATAACAGTTACTCCAAGCAATTTAATAATCTACTCAAGTTGGAAGTATTACTCCTTCCAGAAACGATCTGGTGAGAAAAGGTAAGCGTGAAGAATTCTTCTACAGCTTCTTTCTTTTATTTCACACCTATCAAAACAATTATTACTGAATTCCATGCGTTAAGTTATGTTCATCAGACTTCATAGAGCACGTGACTTGAAGGACGGAAAATAGGTGTGACGAGAAGCTCAAAACAATCAAATAAGGATAAGAAAAAGGCACGGTTGAGTTATGATTCTTACACGAGCATGCGTAGTCTTTTCAGTTGGATACCCACAACCTGCACCCCCTACAAGTTTATGAATTGAATACTGAAACAGTTTCGTCGATGATTCCCGTACCATGACTTCTCAAAAACAAATTAACAACAAACTATTTGTTTGGTGTTTGTTTGTTTGTTTTTTAGGCAAAAAACTAAACAATGGGCTATCTGCACTCTGAACCACCGTGATATGCTTGGTTCGGTTGCTGTTAAGCACAGAGTTACATAATTGCTTATTTTAATTTCATAAGCCTGCAAACTTACCTCTGAGCTAACGGGGGTGGGGGGTGTATGGGTGGAGAGGGTAGGGGTGGATATGACAAACTGAAAACCAGATGCGAAAATATAACGAAAAATTTGGAAGGGTCTTAAAAATAAAACTATTTTGTTGGAAATAGTTCCAAGAAAATTTAAACGGGTTGGTTTGAACGCAAAGAAAGGTTGAAATGTGAAATTATTGGGGAACAAAATGATCAAATACAATGGTTACTCGGGTAGGTGAGAAAGAGTAAATTTGCCGGCGTGCAAGAAATTGAAAAGTCGTCACAAAAGTGAAACTAATCTTTTAACTTTATAAATAAATAGCATTGTTTAAAAAAAAATATGTAAAAAGAGAGGCTCGTTTTTCCGGAGGGTGTGGACCATATGTTTGACAATTACGTTCATAAAGACGTTATAAGGAGGAAGTTTCGTATATTACGCCAGACAGTGAAACGAACTGAGGTCTAATCAGCGGGGAATTATTGCGTTAAAAGGGCTTCGTGAAATTAGCCGATTGCAGGTGTTAAATTCCTTAAAACAAAACTTTGTGTGTGTGTGTGTGGAATCATTTAAAACGATTTCATTGTTACTTTGTTATTTCTGATTAATTAATAGTACTTTTCGGCTTTAGTAGTAATAAAAACCTCATAAACTTCTAAATACTATTATCGTATTCATTGTTATTACCCCATATGACACATTCACGATATCATTGGGTTAAATACCAGCTGCGTATTCTAAAATAATACGAGAAACATTTTCCATTATCATTATTTTTATGTCGCCATTTTCCGTAAGGCAACATTAAGGAACGGTGAGCTCGGCTATTCAAGGTCATGGTACCAGTCCTATGGTACAGCACCGTCAGCACATTGTGTTACCTTACATACATTTTTATTCAATTTAACACAGCTATTGTCCACGCGCAAATGACCGGGTTTTCCCTTACGCTTAAGGATCTTCACTGAACAAAACGGTAAGAGAGATGGTTCGTGTCTTAAAGTACTAAAGAACCTTACTTAGGATAGTTGGGTTCGGTTATACAGATGGTTCGTGTCTTAAAGTACTGAAGAACCTTACTTAGGATAGTTGGGTTCAGTTATACAGATGGTTCGTGTCTTAATGTACTGAAGAACCTTACTTAGGATGGTTAGGTTCAGTTATACAGATGGTTCGTGTCTTAAAGTACTAAAGAACCTTACTTAGGATGGTTAGGTTCAGTTATACAGATGGCTCGTGTCTTAAAGTACTAAAGAACCTTACTTAGGATGGTTAGGTTCAGTTATACAGATGGTTCGTGTCTTAAAGTACTAAAGAACCTTACTTAGGATAGTTGGGTTCATTTATACAGATGGTTCGTGTCTTAAAGTACTGAAGAACCTTACTTAGGATGGTTAGGTTCATTTATACAGATGGTTCGTGTCTTAATGTACTAAAGAACCTTACTTAGGATGGTTAGGTTCAGTTATACAGATGGTTCGTGTGTTAAAGTACTGAAGAACCTTACTTAGGATGGTTAGGTTCAGTTATACAGATGATTCGTGTGTTAAAGTACTAAAGAAC